TGCAATGAGATACTGAACATAAGCGAGACAAAGGTTCCAAAGAAGATGACTATGAATCTGGTGGTCCTAGGTGCCAGTTCGAAAGGCTTTCGCCGCTTGCCAGTACCTGAACAGTGGCTTTCAGCATATAGTTGACACCATATGGTCCAATTTCAGTGTGTTCAATCCATTTTAACGCCCATGCACAACATGCGCATTCTAAAGCTTATGTCTGTTATGATAACTGTGGATATACAACCTATATTTCTTTTGTTCGTAATCTTCTAATTTTTCACATGGTTTTGGTTATGTCTGGTTGTCTCAAGGTATTGGTGAAATTTGAAGTTTTCCTTCAAATGTTTAAGAAGGTTGCAGTTGATATGTATACTCATGCCAATAATGGTTGGCACCCCCTTCAATTTTTAATTGGAGGGTGGGGGGTGGGGTGAGGGGGGTGGGTTTGGGGATGACAACCATTATTGGCATGAGTATATTTACTATCATGGAATGGTATTATACAAGAAAGTATTAGATATAGTTTATATAGATAATATTAAAGCATATTAGAATCAGAAAGCATCTCACTCTATTAACAAATAAAAAACAATGAAACATAAAGACTTAGATGTGGAATTTTAAAATTAAAAGTTAACGAGGGAAGTCAACGACTATGTCAAATGTGTAATACTGGAGTTGGTGATGAATATCATTTTATCCTTTTATGTAAATATTAAAGCAAGTTAAGACAGCTTTATCTACCATGTATGTATCACCACAAATATTCACAAATTTAGACAGCTAATTAATTCAAAGTGTACATACAGACGTATTAGATAATTTAAGTAGACATATTTGACAAAGCTTAATCTTAAGAGAACATTATGTTTGAAATCTGTAGCATATATAAAAGTATGTATATTACATTGTATGTAATTCATGTTCGATGCAAATTGTATTATAATATGTGTATATTGGCCAATGGCTTTCATTCAAATAAACAACTTGACTTTACCCGCAATATCAGCACAATGCAGATGAACATTTAAACGCTGTCATTATACAGATGTGCCAACTTGGGAAAACGTCAACATGCTCCGTTCGCATGTTCTACAGCTGCGGGACGACTTTTGACATTACTAACCCATGCTACAAAACCTCCTCACCTGCAACTATTTTAATTTTCACTACCACTTCTTTGTGAGGTGAGAGATAAGAAGACATCAGGAAAAGCAGAAAGATCAAAATAATCAATCTACTGGTCAAGCTAACAAGAAGCTATTGACCATATTGTTGTACTTGCAAAGGCCAAGGACAAATATGTTCTGTACAGGAACTTGCACATGATGCAACCTACTAATGTAATATGGTACTCAGCACGGGTATCAATAGTGAAGGGGAATGTCTCTAGGTATACTATTTAAGCATCCGTTACACACTCACACAAACAAACACCCATTACACACATCTTCTTATTCATATCTCCATATTTCAGTAGTAATTCCTCCAAAAGTAGTGCCTCCAAATATACTAATGAAGCGTTTGTTTCATGCTATCACAAAGACCCAACACACACACACACACACACACACACACACACACACACACACACACACACACACACACACACACACACACACCTCATCTTATTCCTTTCTCCCTTTTTCCAGTAAGAATCAGAAAAAAATTCCATTACACACACTAACACACAAAACAAAACACACGCACACATGTATACACTTTCTTCCTCTTTCCTTATCCACTTTTCTCTGCCCATTCCATCTCTACTCTTTTCTCCTTCATTATAGTTTATTTCTTAGAATTCAATCAAAGCTTACATGTGATCAGCCATTACTGCATTTCAATGACTCATAAATATAATTGTCCTATCATATTATACAAGCGATTCATGTGCAAATTGCCAATTAGTAAAATATAATCTGTGACAGATGATGTTGTTTTCCTCGGGAGAGAAAATATTTTATCTTAACGATACGTTTAATGCTTCAAATGAAGCAAGTGTACATTGCCATTATAAATGTTTCTTATCCAATAACAGTGATATATCAAAGCCCAGATTGGAATCAGGAACATGTTATCTTGCAAACATCATGGGCCTACCTTATGAGGAGAAAACACTGATAGGTTCATGAGATCTATTTGGATTTTTATGAGCTACTAATAAACTAAATTTTGACATGATTGGGTGATTTGCGTCAATGTTCAACTTTTTATAGCTTGTTAACATATAATGTGATACCTACTTGTGATCTGTGACATTTGAAGGGCATGCATGATGTACTGGTGTCGAAACTATACGTAAACGGCTTATTGGAAGACAGTTCTGTTTATGATTGCAATAGCATCCAAGGCTTGTTAATCGTCAAGGCTTCAACAGGTGCTTGGGCGGTGGGGTAGCCCAGTGGTTAAGGCGTTCGCGCCTAAGATCCGGGTTCGATTCCCCACATGGGCATAATGTGTGAAGCCCATTTCTGGTGTCCCCTGCCACGATATTGCTGGAAAATTGCTAAAAGCGGCATAAAAGTTAACTCACTCACTCACTCATCCATGATGTACCTTTTCTCCAGTGCAATTGCCCAGAATGAATTCATTGATATCTGTGATCAATTGTTGAGGTAGGTATATAACGTGTGATGTAAATAGAAACAACAAAACCCTTTCCACGAGAAATCTCTGCTAAAAGCTGCGTCGATTGTACAATTTTAATTATATCATCACTATGACTACTTCTATATGGCTCTGAAATATGGGGATTACAACAATATGACAGTATTGCAAAAAGTTTCTTGGTGTAAAACCGAACACATGTAATAGGATGGTTTACGGAGAATTAGGTCGATTCCCCTTGTTTATATACTCTTCCATTAAAGACATAAAGTATTGGGTAAGATTACTGCATAAGCCTTGCCATAGGTTTCCGAAAAAATGTTATGATATGATGAAATTGTATGACGAAAATGGGAAAAGAAATTGGGTGAGTGATATTAGGGAGTTGTTGTATAAAACTGGTTATGGTTATGTGTGGTGTGATCACAATGTTCAGTTGCATACCAATTTTATCATATCATTTACACAAAGAATGAAAGATATCTATTTCCAGTCTTGGTCGGAATCACTACTTCTATCCACAAAATGTTTATACTATAATCAATGGAAATCGGACATACGTTTTGAAGACTATTTAGCAAAAATCGGCGTATAGAAGTTCCGTATAGCTCTCTCTCGTTTTCGTTGCTCTTCCCATGAATTATTTATTGAAACTGGCAGGTATGCAGGTATACAAAGAGAAAACAGAATATGTCAGTTATGTAATATGAGTACTGTTGAGGATGAACTACATTTCCTTCTAATCTGTCCTGTTTATACGACTCTACGAACGAACTACTTAAAGCCATAATATTATAAGCATCCAAGTGTAACAACATTAATTTCACTATTAACAGATACTACCACATCAATATTACAGAATCTGGCAATGTACATCTATTTCGCTATGAGATTAAGAAAACGTATTGTTGCAGAAAAGAATTTATAAATGACTTCTATCTACTCATGTAAACTCTAAATGTACTACAGGCCTGTGGCCTTTTTAAGTACTGAAATAAAGATTGATTGACTATGAGATTGTTTCATGCCATATTCAGTAGTGTTACGGGTGTACGACGCAGTCTTCCAAATATGAAGTTTGGACCAAAACCTCCAGTGATTGACACAATAAATGATGACTGAGCGTGTGTTCATGAATCACTGACAGACAGTGATGATACCATGTGTTCGCGAAAAGTATCCTCCCCCGCCTAGCACCCGTCATAAACATATGCAAAAGTTTGTCAACTCTTCACCTGACAAAAATCGCAAACGTATGGTACAAGTCAAAATAGGGAATTGCATCGGACATGACTTTTTTCACTGATGCATCAAGTGCTGTAATGTCCTCCACGTGCTGTTACATTTAAGACAACCTTTGTCACGTACATAATTATACTATTCTTAATTAATAAAGTTAATAAGAATGTAGTTTGCAAGCGAAATGTTACAAAGTCATGTTAAACCGACGTTAAGCGACGTCACAACGTTCACGCTTACTGTAAAAACAGATCGATCAAGGACGCTCATTCTGTTCAGCCAAACCCTCATATCCTTGCTCCTTATAGGCAAAGTTCAATAAAAACTAGGTAGATTTATGACAAAATGCAGAGAACCACAACTCCAGACATTTGAAATTGTTTGTAAGAAAGAAAATGCAACTTTGAAACAGGTTTGTATAACTATAGCGATCATGGATGTCCATTTTAAATTGCGCCATGCTCAAGGAATGTTTAACATGTAAATATGATGAGTCCCCCTTAGTAATGTTTGTCTTTATGCATATAGGGGCGGTGGGGTAGCCCAGCGGTTAAAGAGTTCGCTCGTCACAGCGAAGGCCCGGGTTCGATTCCCCACATGGTTACAATATTTGAAACCCATTTCTGGTGTCCCCCGCCGTGATATTGCTAGAATATTGCTAAACGCGGCGTAAAACCATACTCACTCACTTTATACAAATCTTTGTTTCAATTTTCTGAGCACTTGGTACGATCTGCTATCCTCTGTATTGGTGTTAAGGTTACATTGTTTTCAAGTATTTACAAAATATCTTTATGCCTTTCATGGATAAGGCCTGACTGTGTTCAGAATATAAATATGCAACTGGTCCGATTTTCGTGTGAATGAAAATGTATAGATCTGGAACATAATGCCGTATTCAACATTTCATAGCTTTAACAATAAAACGAGTATTCAGAAGCTTCAGATGAAGACACGGAAACAGAGAGTCAACATCATCAACAATCGACAATATCATATTGACAACGTCAAGGCGGCCTGTAAAACATGAGCACAGATTCGCAGTCAGACAGGTCAGAGTCTGACAACCGATCCACTGAAGTCAACTTCTGCAAACAGCAAAGATGCTTGGGATCTATTCTTACCTGGAATTGATGTATGAAAATAGTAGTCATTACCTGTCGCCATATGATCCTGGTTGGTTGTTATCAAAAGATCTTTTTCCCCATCTGAACGGAACGCGTACCCCTCTCTTTCCCCACCGTAAAGGCAACTTAGGAGAGGGACAGTCACATGACGTATAGTAACGGTTATAGTAACATTCCTTTGTGCAATCCAAATATCTCGCCGAAACGGATGTGAACACACAGCAAAGCACTACGCATGACAGGAAGAGCAGTATTGTCCTTGACATTCTTTCTGAAACAGAAATGGAAATTGTGTCAATATATGTGTAGTACAGAGGAAGAACGCGTCCAGTGATCAACATTCATTGCAAGTGCTGTGTGACATTGAATCAAAGATTTCTGTCGGCAAAAACTACATACAAATACAAGTTTTAAGTATTAAACTATGTATATATGTGTGCGTGCGTGCGTGTCTGGGTTTGCTTGTTTGTATGACATGACATATGACTATTTATCACTTGCGTAAACTATGACCAGTAACATAATTATATATACACATTATTATATGTACACATAATTATATATAACATAATTATATAAACACATACAATTGAATTTCACCTCTGTACATATACACACACTAGTGTAGCACATGTATAAAGCAGTTCCAAAAATATCCACACGACACAAATTGCTCTTTTGCATGTTTCAGGAGATTAAACTGAACAGGCAGGACTATTTGCGTCGTGTGATTATTTTGTGATTTTTTTGTCATTTTACACGTTCATTCTGGCAGGATGAATCGTTCTTGAACATGTGGACACGCACTCGTAGGGTCTTTTGAGAACAGTTTTCATTGAATGCAAAAGCAAACTATTTAAAAACTGTATGAATGGACACCGGGTGTTCAACATGGTGGTTAAAGAAGGATGCTTTCCTACTGATAACCAGCCCACAGCATACAGCTGTAAACGGAGATCATCCGGAGATGTTACGAATGTAACCAGACAAATACATTAATGATTCAGTGCGTGTGATTGAAGCTAGGTCAACAGCAATCAAGTTCTTAAAGACCTGAGGCATTAAAATCCTGCAAAATCTCCTCGAGCTTCATCAAATGAATGGGTCTAAGAAAAAGTAGTTGCAACTATTTTCAGCAGAGTAGTCGCTAGAATAGCTATTTAACGACGTAGAACACGCATGTACCTCAGGATCAGAAAGCATTGGAACAGAATCGTATTTTGATAATAATGCTGATGAAAGCTATTCAATAACACTTTGCGTATTCTCGTGGCAAATCCGGATATCCGGACATTTCAAGTGTCCGGATAAACGGGGCACGACTGTAGTATAAGAATATACCTGTTTCGTTTCATTTCAAGTCACTACGTTCTCATAACCCCTTAGATATTACCATAAAAACAGTTAATATCCATTTAGTAAATCTACAGTAAGAAATTGGAACTTTTACATTCAATTTCATTTTCAGCAGTGTCATACAGGTCAAAAAATGAGATGTGACATTCAAAGAGGGAGAAACAATGACATGGAAGCGCCCGATAAGAATCTACACGCCTTAAATGTAATGCATGTGATTTTAAATTCGTAACTAATCACGATGAAGTCGACCTGCTAGATTAATGTCGGTGCTTGAACAACCGTAACATACACAGCTTCATCAATCCCCTTCTCCTAAGAGCTACCTAGCTGACGGAAGAGCAAATGGCACCATTAATCAGGCAGAGTTTACACCCACAGACGAAGTTTGTGATCGATACGATGACAAAGTCAGATGTTTAACGAAACGCGCTTTTTCAAGTCCTCTCATCTTGGGATTCTATCCACGTGGCTACTTTTTCCAGTAAATATCAACCGAGTCAACACACTAATAGGAGATTAAAACGAAGGACTGAACATTTCTTCTCCATCTTCGGTTCATTACTCTTCCATCAACAAATGGGACACATGGCATTTTGATTTTGTTGGTAATGTCAACCATTGCACCGGCATCCCACTCGATGCCATTAATATTTTATGCTGTTTATTCAGGTGTGTTCGCTAAACCGTAAACTTAATAAAAATATTTGTGTTTACGGAATGAAATCATCCTACACTTCACTGTGTGTGTTGAACGGTCTGTTAACGGCCGTATATGCATAATTAACATCTGAAAATGGTTTCATACGAGACGTAGTCGTTGGACCTTAATGCCCGAACTTTTAACAAAATATCCATCCATTATAATAACTGACGTATTGCACGATTTCAGGTTTGAGTGTAGTTAATATGAAACAATCATACTACACCCCACACCCCTCCTCCCCAAACACACATACACACGCACGCACGCACGCACGCACGCACATACACACACATACATACATACATACATACATACATACATACATACATACATACATACATACATACATACTTACAAAGATACATACATACGACTGTGTTCCACAATGTGGGCGTTGAATTTAATACCAAGTGATCGATTTATCCTTATTGTTGAAAAATCAATATGTGTAGTACTAAATGTGAATTAGGACACATTTATGAAATATAATTTAATCATGCCAAGACTGCCTGATTTAATTGAAGTGTTCTCTGCAGTGATCATATCAAAATCATATCAGATCATCTTTATGATATGTTATATTTTGCATCGTTTCACAATGAACAATTTAACTAAGGTTTATCCCCTTCCGGCAATACGATAATAATATCAGAAACCTCTGAAGGACTACTGCCGTCCAGTTATCATAAACTGTGCTGTTTATGGTTCCTTCTAAAAGACAGACTGGAAGGAATAATACAAGTTAAACAATATTTCTTTATCCTTTTCATTTATGTTATATCGACCAAACGCGATTCTTATACCACATATGTTTTACAGAATGAAACATAGATTGCAAAATCCTTTGCAAGGGTATAAGAAATATCTGCTAAAAGCAGAGTCCATCGTGACTGAATCATATAAAAATTCCGATTGAATTATATGGAAAATACATTTTCCTTCAAATCGCTGACACATTATTTCAATCGATTTCTGCAGCAGAATAAAATTTCGATTGTAATATATTGAAGTACAATTAATTCCAAATCGTCGAGGCGCTAATGTCATCCTTCCATTTCAATCTGAATAGCTGTCTTACGTCTCTTTTTTCTAAACAGACTAGACACACATGTCTTTACGAAATGGTAAATGTGTGCCTTCCTCCCGAGCTTCTAAATCCCAGCCCCAGACTGTAGCGGCCATAAAACAAGACGCCACAGCGCCCCCTGTCGGGGAAATGACTATTTGCAGATGGTGTACGGATTCTGACTACCTTAATCGGATTTAACGGCCTTTACTAGATCAATGGCTACTCTTGATTTCCGTTTTGTATTGTCTGCACTTGGTCTAGCCTCGTTGGTGACAAGGTCCGATGTAGGGTTACATATAATGAAATGTGTTTGAAGGACCCTGTTCATTTCAGTGGTATACTGCATATATAAAAACTGACTAAATACAACTGGTATAGCTGTGCAGATTTGATTTTGGATTTATATTTACAGATGCAAGAAATACGATAAAGAAGGAGAATCCAGTTTTCTGTCGATTAGTTTTGGTCAATGTATCCTGCCTTCAAGCTCGCTTGCCGAACACGATGCATTAAGATGTTCGCGTTCATCTCATTGTCGCATATATCACTGTCCATTACATAACAATCAGTTTCTTCTAACGATCTGAACAATAACTGACGTACGTGCCATGTGCGTCAATGTCGGACAGGGTTACCTCCATCAAACAAAATGAAAAATGTGATTTTCACAATTGGTTGATATGCACTCTTTCGTTGGAAAAAGATTCATCAACGGTGACATTTCAAAATCGGAACAAAACAGGAGACCAACACAAGACTTCGTCATTCCTGAAATCTCTTCAGCAAGTTAGATAACCATCAACACCCCAATAATAGCCCTACATCCGAGAGGACAAGTAACGTCTTGATGTCAGGTCTAACATGATGCAACTTTAATTTCCGCTCTGTTCTTTGATATAGTTTATCTTGTGTTTAAGCTCCGTTATGGACGAGTGTGTTCCCTTTTTAGCTTTTATCTCATTAAAACATTGATTTATAATACAGAACGTACGTGCAAACGAATATTTAGTCTTCACTATTCCCAGAAGCAAACTGCGTTTGGTGTAAATGGGAAAACAGCTGTGAATATTATGAGTGGATTACTATTAATGTGTGATGGCACCGAGTGTACATGTAACACCGTACCGCCATTCAGAATATTTGCCTAAAATGGAAGCATTGTTTGCAACGCGACGGCGGAATGTAACCAAACCAGACAATCCAGTGATCGAGGGTCAGAAAAGTCCGTCAGTCAGATCATGTGTCGACGTATGGAGATTCTGATGCTTATGAGTAAAGAAAAACGTTTCAGAAATACATGTCTTTTACAAAACAATCGGGGTTAGTTTCTAAATTGATTCGGGATTCAATGTCTTCCAACTTAGATTGTCCTCTCCCTGGTATTTACATATTCCATAATTCTTTTCTGAATATACACATATATACATATATAAGTGTAGAAGAGACATAAACATGTTGATGGAGCAGTAAAGAGAAGACAGGATATGCATACTTGAACTCGTTTAGTTATACATACATGTACATAATGTTTTACTTTCTCAATGTCAGCTTTATTTTCTGTAACCATGACATCTGTAGTTCCCTGTTACAGCACTTTCAACATGCATAACTTCTTTTAGAAGCATTTGGGCCATATCCGGTAAGACTCCGACAGCAGGATCCAGCGAGACACTGTCAAACCCTAACAACAAACCTCAAAGACTTCAACATCAGAAAGCTCCAAGAAGCAATCTATATAAAAAGACTTGAACCAGCAATCAACTATGATCAAGGCTATTACATACCTCCAGCTTACCATCGCGTCAAATATTCCCTTCAGTTATCCTACTTTATCCTACAGGCTTCACCTGTTTGCGTTCTGAACTCAGATCTTGCCCATTGTTTAGTTACTAGCTTCTCCACTGTCAAACTCAAATCCAGTCAACTGTAAAAACACATTCTTCTATTTGTATATATGCCTCTCAACCATACCCTGTCCATCATTTGCTTGACAACGCAACATCCAAACATTGCTTCTGTTGTAATGAAGTTGTTCATCTGTATATCTCGTTCCTACTATTCAACAATGTTATAACCAATATTTTAAGGCATTTAAGAGTAATTTCACGCTGATGACTAACCACTGTTCATTCCATGAGAT